ACAAGCGGACTGCATGTAGTTGTAAACTTACAATTAGTTTGTTTTGAATTAGAGTCTGGCGAGTTCAATTTAAATCCTGAGCCCTGAGGCCCTGATAAAACAGTGGTGAATGACTCAGATGTACAGTACTTACAAGGTCTGTAGTATTTCTCTGTAGTGTTGAATATTGTGGTTAATCTTGGCTTGTTCATATTTGCAAGATTTGATAGCTTGCTCAATCATGGACAGCAGAGACATGTTTGTCTCTGGAAGTCACAGCGTGGCAACCAATGATCCGCCGTGACAACACGAACCAAACCCGTAACAAACTACGAAGAGTTTACTAAAAGTGCCAATTCGTCACAAAGGTGCGGAATCCCACAGTGGTTCCATATCATCCCATACAAACAACGACATTACTCTAGCTTTTTCGTGCTGTACCGCGAAACAGAAAACATAGCGGATGCGGAAGTAATTTGGTGAGTACCAAAGTATTTGTGTAGCGTTGTTCAAAAAGTTACATCATACTAATAAAATACTTCTTACAAGCAAGCTTCTTGTAGCAAATAAATATCGAATGTGTTTTTATTAACTAAACACGATCAAAAAAGTTTTAAATATACTCTCAAAAACACATTTCTTACTTCTCGCGAGAAGTGGAGTGGTTACCAGGTGCATTCATGGCTGTCACTGAAAGTTTGGAAATTAGCACATTATGTTAAGCCAATATGAAGCCTATTCTGAGCAACACATTTTTAAAAAGTGATGTTGATGTTCCCACCAGAGAGAACTTGTAGAAAACGGCAGTACAATATAAAGACTTTGTTTGGACCTTTTATTATAGTAAAAGTAATGCTACAATTAAGTGTCATAACATGTAAATAACCACCTACCAATGATAACACTCTTTTTCATTTTGATTCAAATGAACATTTATATATTTAGAAAAATTGCTGCTGTTCCTTTAGGTTACAAGTATTAAAACAGAATAACATTAATTATATGATTACTTACTGTTGATTTGCTGTTATATCCAAGCAAACAGTGGGGTAAATGGATAGTTGTAGTAGTATTAGGGTAGTAATGCACAACTTATTAGTTTATCCTTATGTTGTCCATGCACAGTGAAATCATAACATTTGTGAACTCATTGAGGGAGTAATGACTTCACAGTAATCAGCATTGCTTTCTTAATTAACAACACTGCTTGACCTGAGATCATGCTCTGCACTCCAAATAGTATTATTCTACAGTAGAGCGTCAATTAGAAACATGAGTGATTAGCAGACATGATAAATAAATGTCTGCTAAATGGTCTGTTTACAATTATAAGCTTTTATAAAAGCAGAAACGTTAGCTTTTCAAGAACAGGCGTAAGTAATAATGTATTAGCGATTGTTTCGCCCCCTCAGCATGTACAATCCCTGGTATTCTAACATGCTGGCTTACTTGCTTGTCAAATGAAACAAATTAATGTCAGTTTCACCTATGCATTTTCTGCAAAGGTCTATATTTGTTTATTTGTTGTGCATGCTGTCTACCATAATATAGGAAGTAAGACTTTAAACAAAACAAACCTTTTCTCTCATGCCACCAATTATTGTTACCACTTTAACGATTCTGGAGAAACTATTACAAATATGTTAAATTCAATTTCATTTAAACTAATCTGCTAATCTGAATATTGCTTATCCTGCAGCTATCAGAGAACTGTCTTTATTGATCTAACATTAATCAAGTTCAGAGACCTTTTAAAAGCAAATTAGTGCAATGCAGACCTTTATGATCTTAGCTAAACCAGTTAAACCACCAATTATTGTTTTCTGTTGTATCTCATGGACTTTGCCCTGTTTTTATGTTTCCATCATTATAGTCACATGTGTTCAGCCTCATCAATTGCCATGGTGTGATCAAAAGCTTCAGATCACAGGTGCTATCTCACAGAGTGGTGAAATAGACCTCCTGCTGCAATTCTTATGAGGCGTGTTTATGTGAGTGTTTTTGATGCAGCATTTGAAAGGCCATCTGTACCTCACATATGGGGTCCTCAGCAGAGCAGAGTGACAAACAAACCCAAATAGCAGCAAAAAATATTGTTAGTTGCCAAACTTACATATTTGTGAGGTTGATGGAGAAATCGCTATGTTTGTCAATATTTCCCCCATCAAAGTTTATTGGGCAAAGTCTCTCTCCCATCCCCCCCCCCCCCCCCCTTTTATCTCATCTATTGATCTCAATCAGTAGCACAGAACCATTTCCCAAAGCAATTTAATGTAATTGCAACAGCTTGCCGGCCCTGTTGGAGGGAAGTGAATCTTGTTGTTACTGTAGCTGATCCCCCCCCCCCCTCACCAGCTTCCAGCGGGGGGGCTGCATCCGAGCATCTGACACTCCAGCCGGCTGCCAGATAAATATCCGGCTCTGAGAGTGACACACACATCCACCACACACATCCACTTTATCTACCCCATATGTATGTACGTCAACCACGGACACTTTTGCACACAAACCAAACCCAACACACACACACACACACACACACACACACACACACACACACACACACACACACACACACACACACACACACACACACACACACACACACACACACACACACACACACACACAGGTATTTAAATAGAAGCTGCATACAATCATTAACCGATGGACAACTCTGCTCAGCAAACAAACTACCTCATACATAATTCATTAACAGCATGCGTGAATCATTTGAACACAAAAATACCTGAAAAAAACATTTTAAACTATGATCTGTAATTGGCAGAACACTCAAACAGCATGATGTAAACGAGATAAAATACAGTAAGCTTGTTTTGTTTGTCCCCAAGGGCCAGGCAACTAACCGGACAAAGACTGCAGGCTCATAGTTGTTTTTTTAAGGGCAGGGACAGGATGACTACCTGTTAATCGGGGAGCACTCATTGTAATTACTCAGTACATTCTGTGTTCACAGTACTGTGTCAAGTTTATTACATGCCCAATTCTGCCCCTTTCACCTGCCCAAATGTCACATCTACAATTGATTTGTTTCTTTAGGGTTTTAGATGTGTTTGAGCCAACAACAGGCATTTGGAAGTGAGAATGGTTGTTAATCTATATGGCAAACCCTTTAGTTATTGTTTTTTTATCTTAAAATAGCTTTATCTTTTCTTTTTCTTGGTCTTTGATTCTGCCGACGTATACATTTTAATTTGTAAAGCAACAGAGTAATAACTATACCAAATAACAAAATGCTTTGTTATGTCAAACAGCTATCTACTGAAGTGTTCAAAACAAAGAGAGTCAGTCTGTTTCAGCTTCAAATCTGTTGATGTTGTTCTCAGGTATTCCTGTGGACAACAACAAAATGTGAGAGACTCATAAAGGCTCCCTTTACCCTGACACTCCATAAATAAAAACTAATAAGCCGATTAAACCGAACAGCATAGTGGAGATAATTGTTATAATTACATTGGTGTGTGGTTATGTAAGAACTACAGCTTTGTGATCATTTTGGTGAAGCCTTGGAGAGCAACAAAGGGTGTTGCCAAGGGGTAATTTGATTGAAATTTGGGAGATTAGGAATATTCAATTTCAAATTTCCTTTTCAAGAATGATTAATTTGTTTTATTAAAAGAAAGAGCTATTGCATAATATAGGCCAAAATCAAACAAATAGTATAATTTGTTTGCTTTTAATATGAAACATTACATAAACCACAACTAAGGTAAGCCAAAAAACAATATTTGATTGTGCTATTTGTTCTGAATATTAAATACTGTTTGTGAAGCTGCAACTTGACAAACCATGTTCTGTATTTGCTTGGTGCGAATGTCATCTTGTGGTTATTCTCTTCTCGTCGGCTGATGTTTCATTGGGGTTTTGGGGATGATTTAGATTTGTTTTCACTTCTTGTGATGTGTATCTTATGCAATGTTACCAGTAATTAACCAGCAAACTAATGCAAAAAACTACAAGTAAACTAGCACACTTTGTACTCATTGATTATGTTGATTTTACAAACAGCTGAAGGTTGTTTTAGGATGGATCAATGAATGGCTCTCAACAACATGAAGCACTTATGTTTGACACATGAAAATGGTTACATTAAACTCAAGCCCAATGAGATTTAGAAGATATTAACTATGCTTTTATTTTCTATAACAATTTTCACTTCCCCTGCCTTAGAAGTACTTCCCTAAATCGCCAAAAGGTTGCTGCGTAGCTGTTTACCAAGGTCTTATGTGACCACCATTTGAATGTCTACATTGGCTTCCCATCCAATTTAGGATCTGGTTAAAGATTCTTGTTATCATGTTAAGAACCTTGCATGATCAGGATCATGCCTCCTAAAAGCCACCACCACCTCTGCTACATAGCAGCAAGACAAACAGACATAGTGGTCAAGCCTCCTTTTGTTGTTGTTGTCTATCTCTTTGTGTTTGTTTGTCCTATTTTCATTGTTTCAAGTTAAATCAAACTTTATTTAGACATCAATTTTCATACACAAAAGATAACACTATCTTACAATAACAATAAGAGTGCTTCACAAACCAAACAAACAAACAAAAGAAGATGTCAAAGTATTTTCATTGTAATTGTTAATGTCTTTATTGTCTTTGTTTGTGTCTCTTTGTGATTGTTTTGCCTATTATCATAGTCATTGTGAGTGTGTTTTTGTCTCTTTGTTGTCATTTCGACTCTTATTGTGGTTATGTTTGCCCTTTCATTCTGAGTCTCTTTGTCGCTTCACAGAAAAACATGATGTCCTGGTGGGTACGTTTTGTGCTCCTGATATTATAATGGCATTATCCATGGTTGTTACTAATATAGCAGGCATTAGAAAAAGGAGACTTTTGAAGTTGTAGCTTCTTCTTTTTGAAACTCTTTCAAATTTGGACTTTTAAAACGCAGCTCAATACCGGTTTTTGCTGAGTAGTTTATTTTGTATGTGTTAATGTTTATGTCTGCATTGTATCCTAGTGGTATAGGCAGAAGAAATAGCTGTCCTCAGCATTTCCTGCAGCAGAGAAGCACCTGACAGCAGCCGGGAGGGGGCGGGGCTTACAGTGAACACAGAGGAGTGGACGTGCAGTTCCGTGGCGTCCTGGATCCAAGCCTGATTTGTACTTAACCGGACCGCTCTGCACTGTAGTGGGGTGAAGGTTTGTAACGTCAATATGATACCAACGCAATGTAACCCGTTAATATATAATTTCATCTGTGAATAAACGTGTCGAGACTGCATTGGAATGTAATGCCGCTCGTCAAAAAATCTCGAGTTAGTTAGGCTAGTTGAAATGCTAGCTAGCTGTTAGCAAAGTTAGCTAGCGTCCTCCAGAAGAAGTTAGCTGTTGTCAAAATGATGCTCCGAGCAAGTTAGATGACGTTACCGCCAGGAGTACCAAACATGGCATGTGTTGCGTATCTCGATGAAAGATGGCTTTAGATAATGATTTCTGATCCCATTGAGACATTGAAATTTTTTAAATCCCTTCATTAACTCGTTTATCACAACACCAGCTGCATTTGTGAGTTAAACGCCAGGAGGCCTGTGCTGCGTTTTAGTGTATGGGCTGAGTTTTACTCTGTCTGTTTGTTCACGTAGTTGAAGCCCTGGTGTTGTTTTAAGCATTTACTATCAACTTTCAGTCGCATATTGCCTTGAGTAAATTAGGTGGATGCAGCTAAATTAAATTAACTGGTAGCTTTTATTTGACCATCATCTCAGGGACAATAGCTGCAGTGAAACAGCAAAACGGTTTGGGGAGATATTACCCCCCCTTTTTCTTATTAGACCTCTACTGCTTTGAGTGTAAGAGATTAATAAATATTGTTGTTGAATAAACATTGCTGAATCTGTTATTTCTAACATTGCCATCAGCCTTAATTTGATGATTATGGACCTGATGATTAGATTTACTTAATTCATATCAAATTGTTTCTTTTTATATTGAAAGGCAATACACTGTGATAGTGTTCGTCATCATTATGTTGTTTTTACACATTATTATCAATGCACTGTAAAAGTTGCTCCAGTGTGTTGTTATTGTTTTGTTACACAATACCTCAGACTCCTCAGCCTGATATTGTTTCCGTTGTTTATCCAAAAACTGTTGTGCAATCTTGACCCAAGTGTCATTTAGACAGCAGTTATTTGGCATAGGTCATACTAATAATACATTAAACACAATTTAATATTGTATATGCCCTTACCACAACTGTACCAATATACTAAACATATATTTGTCAAGGTTTATTTGTGATTACACTTATATATGACTGATGCCGTAAATATGATGTTGATTTGATATCTTTTACTGATTATAGGGTGAATTAACTGGCAGACAGTAATACTGCTGATGTCAGCAGACAAGATGGCAACAACAGCTAGTGCAAATGGAGCAGGGCCTGTAAATGAAGGAAAAGACACCCTCAGGTTAGTCTCCCACTAATATTCTAACACAATTACCTTTTTGAAAGAGTGAAATATGATTACAAAATAACCATGTTTGTTGTTGTGATCCTGTCAAATGCTAAAATACAAAAAACATTCCCCCCCAAGTCCTGAGGATCTGTCTGAGCTGCTGGCAGCAGGGACCAAGGAGGTTCACGAGAAGGCCGAAAACACACAGTTTGTGAAAGACTTCCTCAAGGGTCGCATCCGCAAAGAGCTTTTCAAGGTCAGAAAAAAGAAAATCAGAAATAAAAATAATACAATATTTGTAGGTAAATAGAAAACTGTAAGTACTATTGCTTTTGTTCTTGCTTCCCTAGCTTGGTGCCGTTGCTCTCTACTACACCTATACCGCGATGGAGGAGGAGATTGAAAGGAACAAGGACCACCCCCACTTTGCCCCCCTATATTTCCCTACAGAGCTGCATCGCCGCGAGGCCCTGGCCCGTGACCTTGAGTACTTTTACGGGCCTGACTGGCAGAGCGAGGTCAGCTGCTCCCCGGCCGCCCAGCGCTATGTGGACCGTATTCATGAAGTAGGGCAGGAGGACCCCGTGCTGCTGGTGTCCCACGCTTACACCCGCTATATGGGTGACCTGTCAGGGGGCCAGGTGCTGAAGAAGGTGGCGCAGAGAGCCATGAAGCTGCCGCCCACAGGGGAGGGCCTGGAGTTCTATACGTTTGATGGCATCCATAGTGCCAAAGAATTCAAGCAGCTGTACCGTAGTCGGATGAACGTGCTGGTTCTGGACGGGGATACAAAGAAGAGGCTGGTGGCCGAGGCTGTCAAGGCCTTCCAGTTCAACATGGAGGTGAGAGGCCAGGGACAAGGAATGGTGGTTGGAGAGATAGAGAAAATAAGAAATGTTGGCTATGTCTGGAAACACTAGTGGGTGGTCTTTTCCCTTCACATTTTTGTAAATGGATATAAATGTAACTAATTGTGTTGAATAAGCATAAGGATGTTATATCATCATATCAAATGCAGGACAAACTGTATGGCAGCCTGCGATAACAGCAAATATTGTATTTTATTTAGCTCAGAGTGTAATTGGCTTTTGTTGGCAATTTCTTACTTTAAACTATTGCAGTATTGCATTTCATCAGTGTGTGGTTAATGATGATTCTTTGATTTGTTCAGGTGTTAATTCACAGGCTGTCTGCTATCTTTTTATTCATGAACAATTTCTTGATTATTGAGTGTTCAACAAGCTTAACACACTTTATGTTTGTGCTGGCAGGTGTTCGATGAGTTGGAAGAGATCGGCAAAACCATCCAGGAGGAAGTTTTAGATGCTGGCATGCCCGTCCATGGAGCAATGGGTGGAGACATCGGCAAATGTCCCTACTATTCTGCCAAAATGGGTATGCTTTTACATTTCTCTTTGCAGAATTCTTTCCATGAAAAAGCTTTCAAAAAGTGTTGGTGAGGTAAGCTTGTTCTCTGTGTCACAGCGGCGGCGGGCGGATCAGAATACGCCTGTCAGCTCGCCATGGCTGTACTGCGACACCCGACGGGACAGGTCCTGTGCGCTGCTCTTGCTGCTGCTCTGGCAGGGTTTGCTGCCTGGTATCTGATGTGATGCTGCCGTCACCCTGTCACCGTGCTGCTGGGAGAACGACGAGAAAAAAGGGAGGACAGTAAGGGGAATAAAAAAATCACTCAGGTTGTAGACCATTTCCTAGTTTCTTACAAACATTCTGAATGGGTCCAGGCTTATTTAATGTTACTTAAAGGAATTCAACTTGGATCTGTTCTATGGAATTCTGATATAATGACCATAAATATGTCCATCCATCCACCAAGCTACAACTTGTTCAAATGTATCCTCTATTCTTTTAAATGCACTACCTCCTCTGAACTGTCCCTCCAACCTTTGTCCTTCCAGTGAGTTTTGTCGTATCTGAAGATATTCTGAAGCTGCTTTCTTGATTTGTCCCCAATTTTAAATGAAACTGCCAGATGTAAAACATATATATTTTAGATGCTGCCCCTTAAATTGGCTCTATAGTGATGAATGCGTTAGTAATGATGAAGAGATTATCCAAAGTTCTCATGGCGAGCGCAGAGGAAACATGTTACAACATACTATGCACATGTTATGAATGAGTTTAATGGCTCAGTGTGTTCTTGCTGGGCAGACTGCTGTGGTGGTTTTGAATGAGGTCTTTGTGTGGTTGCAATAAAAGATCTCAAATTGTACTTCCTGACATGAGTTGAAGTTCCAAAGATAATATGAAACGCAGTGCATTGCACTGTTGTTATTCTTTCTTTTATTAAATTCATCTAATTATCCAAAAATGGCCTCCAATGTTTCTAAAACATTTCTACAAGTGTACCTAATTCTTAAAAAATAGCACAACTTTGACAAGCTTATGATTGGATACGAGTGAATACACCTGAAAATGGACTCTCTACTAATGCATGTTCAAATGGACATCTTGTATTTATAAACAAAAACTGCCTGATGTTGGTTTAAATGCATCGCTTAACTGTCCAAGGTGAAGTATTAATCGATGATTCAGTTTTACCTGCCACAGAAGCTGATATCATAGGAAAGGTGAATATGATAATGGTTAAGTCTGAAGGCTAAAGATGTTAAGGTTTATTATGAACTGCCGCAGGTTAGGTCCTTCAGCAGCTCACCTCTTGTGTAAGCAGCCATTTGTTATGGATACGCCAGTATGCATCATCACTAAAACAGTCACATTTTGCTTGTACTCTATTTTTTGGAACACCATTCCAAGTAATTGCAACATGGATAAGGAGGAACATATTGTGCTTTGTGTACTGTGTGCAGTGTTATTGCACTGTTCTGCAATTTAAGTTGAATATTTATCCTGACACATTAATGACATTTTATTAACTTGGCATCATCTTCCAAGCTGTTTGTTCTTTTCGTAGTTTAAAAATGTTTGACGCACAGTGTCAACGGAAACCTGCTTAAAACAAAATGTCTACCAGGTTCCTGTGCTGTGTGTGTTTGCACATGATGTACAGTATGGTGTACAGTATTCTTTAACTAGCAGTCATTCAGATTTGACCTGGCATGTATCCCAAGTGATCATGTGTTTTTTATCTGAGCGTCTCAGGTTCATGTTGTAGTCGGATGGAAATACAATGCATTTCCTTTGGACTGTTATACTCCTGTAGTTCATTGTCCATGTTTTATTTTATTTTATTTTTGCCAGTGTCAAAATGCTTCAGTATTTCTGGACGAACTTAGGGAAGGCTTACTTGAATCTCAGAAGTACAGTTGTTCAGGTCATTGTTAAACCTTAGATATAGAAGATGGGATGCTTGACTAATTCATGTTGATTTAGATTCCTCTTGCATTTCAATAACTCTGCTCCTAATCACTTTGTGTATCTGAATGGACAACGCTTTATAGTGTTTGACACCCCATGGCTGTTGAATGAAATACATTCTGTTTTCCTGCTCAAGCTCAAATAAAGGTGATCCATTTGGACTGGTTTATTTATTAAAAGTGCTTGTTTTTTATAATAACAATACACGTCTTAATGATTATGTTGTGCCATTATGTAGCACCATCATCAGGTACAAATATCACTTAAATACAAACTTGATAGATACTTTGTGATTTGGTGAGTATACTGAAATACATTCTATGTTGGATATTCAACAGACATTCAGATGTGATCGAGCAGCGTCTTGTTACTCAGTTACAGACTGTGGGTGTTTCTCAATCGCGAGTACGCTTGCTTGGTAGCACATGTCTGCCGAGCATCTTGCTTCAGAAGCGAGTCAAGAATACTTCCTGGCATTCGGAAAACGAAGTGTGGAACACGCTAGCAAGTGTGCAGGTGTGCGTCATATGAGAGGCCCCGCCTTACATCTTCCGCCACAGATTTGGGGAAATTGGTCCGTGCGCAAAGCATTGTGGGGATTTTAAGACCGCGAAGTCTACTCATGTGCAGACTCGATATTTCTCCAAACGGAGTACGCCGGGCTCGGTAGATTTCCAAGTATACTGGAGATTGGAACAGTGCTTCGGCGGCACTCGATGACGTAGTATGCTTGAAATAGTGGCTCTGAAGCAGCTTTACTTGCGATTGAGAAACACCCACTGTCAGCAGTTGGAAAAGGTTAACTGACGGTTAGCTCACATCTGAGTTAATACTAGGTTTCCTGTAAGGGACCATCAATAAATTAAACTCTGAATGACACAAAGTCCGTTTTATTTTCAATTTCTTTGTGCCAATGTGTCTAAATTATTGAAAATGATGCTAATGAATTCAATACCAATGAATGTGTAGAACATGGCACACCTTATTTGTTTACTGATGCTTCATGAATTCATTTAAATAAAAATATGAACTCTAATCATGTTAGGTTTTGTTTTTTTTGTCTGTTTTTCCTGTCTTGTCACCCAGTTATACAATGGTGCATTTATTTGGAGTCATTAGCTTAAAGGGGACCTATCATGCAAAATGCACTTTTGTACGTCTTTTATACATGAATATGTGTCCCCGGTGTTCCAGGGAACTCACCAAGTGTCAGAAAACACAACCCTCTCTATTTTCCTCCATACCCAAATCTCTAAAAAAGGGGCTGCAACGGATCTGATAAAAACTGATCCAGATTTGAACACTGTCCTGACGTCAGGACAGTGGCGCTACGGCTATTGGGCCAACTCCACCAATCAGGAGGAGACAGCCACGGCCATTGCCGTTCGAAAGCGCTGGAGACGCTGTAGTACATATGCCAGGCCTGTAGATGGTGCTGTTCTCACTGAATCTGCCAAATTGAGCGAAATGAGGCATGGCTAAAATGCATGATCTGTTTGGTATTTTGAAAAAAAAAAAGTATAAATATGCCTTATATAGGTATGGTCCTACACTATATTATTCAAATATAGCATGATAGGTCCACTTTAAATGACATGGAAGCTATTGAAAATAAATGTCATGAATAGAGAAACATTTAAATCCAATAAAAAAGGTGTCCTTTTCATTTGTGGTAATGGTCATATTGCTATAAAATTGTTGGAAATAATATTTGTATTTAAAAGTGAAAATGCAGGTAAGTTTACTAGATACACTAACAATTCAATATGATCTGATCTACCTCTGGACTCACTTAGGGACAGTTAAGTGGTTTTTACTGCATTATATCTTAATGGTTGAACAAAATATGTATCAAAGGAATATATTACTTGATTGATTCAAACAAATGTTCTGTGGTGGTGATTTATATAAAACAGAAGCTTTTCCCAGACCATAGCTTTATTATAATGTACAGTATTTATCTTGTATGTGACACATTGTAGGTTACACAACTATATGTACAAATGTCAGAATTCAAAGGGTTAAAGGTGAGACAGTTTGGTTTTCATAGTTCAGGAGCCAAACTTCTACTTCCATTGCAGACACACCTTTTCTCAAACACTTCAACTTATAGGTAAACCATGAGAACATGACTGACGTGATGTTCAACTTGCTAGCATAGACTGTTGTGAATTGTGGAGGAAATTGGAGCATTAATGAAACAACCAAGGCATAAAGAACAAATAACGGGGTCGATTTAATTCCAAATACATTTTTTTGATTGAATCTTTGTCAATACACCACTTAATTTCAGTGCACCTGAATTCTGTAATCACTATAATGTCTTTTAATGTGGATCAACAGAAAACCAACAAGACATGAATGCTATTTTAAATAAGTCTGCCGCCCAAATGACCACGACGGACACTTGTCCTAATGGATGAATGGCACATTGGAACCTCCTCTTGTATGTGGATTCAGCAGGTGATGCTCCGTCTTTTGCAGGGTCTGGGTATGTAGGTTTTTACTGATCTGTCCAAAACCTTTTCAGGACTTATCCAACACCCACTAGTCCTCAAACACCTGTTCCTTTAATATGAGCTGCGTTTGCTTTATGTAGTCCGCTCTTCTGTCCTTTGATGGACTGATGAAGCTTCTCAGTTATAGGAGGACCTTTTTCCTTAAAGTAGGGAAAAAGATTGTTAAATTAACTCTTAGTAAATGGAGCTTTTTAAAAATGAGCCGGTAAAGCAGTCCCAGTTTGAGAAATAACATATCAAAAAATGCTTCTAGGCCATCAGACTGGATTCACAGTTTTTATGCGACAGCCACAAACCAGAGAATGAAAAGTTATCCAGAGAAGGTGCAGCACGTGTTTCATAACTCACTTTTTGTGCAGAACTGAACATAAAAACAACTTGGGATAAATCAATACTAGTCCTACCTGGTTTGTGGCTGTCAGGAGGCACTAAACAATTTCTTTAATGTGGAGAAGAAGCCCCCCTCTTCTTTCAACTCTCCTTCCTTCTTGTTACGCCTGCTTTTCCCTGTCTCAGACCGCTTATCACTGCTGCCCCCACCTGGACAGAGATTAACACTAAATCAGCTAGGCTTACCACTAAATACAACTTCCTTAATACCCATGTTGGCCAATCAGAGACGTATATATCGAGCAAAACAACAAGACTCCAGGGACAGCGATAGGGTAAGGGTTTATGAGTTGGGTTTTTCTATTGTGCCACTTCATGTTTAGTGTTTCTTTGTTTTTGTTCCCTTATAACGCCTTGTGCGGAATGCTTTGGCAATACTATGTTTCAAATGTGGTCATTCCAATAAAGCCCCTTTGTATTGTATTGTAAGAGTGAGTTTGGTGGTCCTCTAACCCAGGGGTTCTCAAATGGGGGTACGCGGACCCCTAGGGGTACGTTGGAGTACTGCAGGGGGTGTGAGATTTTTTGTATTATGTTAATTTAAAAAAACATCAGTCGTGCATAATTCCTAAAATAATGATACTATAATAAATGTTATTAAAAATGTGAATTTAAGTTCGGTAAAAAACATTTTTTATATTCAACATTTCTGTTTTTAACACTAGAACCGGCAACATTCCATTACTCCTAGAACCGCCGAGGGGGGTCATTTTGAAAGGCTTTTTTCCCCTACCAAATTGTTTTTGCGCTAATCAGGGGGTACTTTATTGTAAAAAGTTTGAGAACCACGGCTCTAACCTGTGGTGGTGTTAGTGACACCATTCACCGTCCCTTCTACTTCCGTCTCGTCTTCAGCGTAGCTTGTTAGCAGAGTTCTCTGTCGGTCAGTCAGCGTCCTGCACAGGAAGAAAATTGGTTATGGATCTCTGAATAGGGAAACAGTTCTTATCCCCTTTCTTCAAGACTACAGCAAGTCATTGTTTTCAATTACAAGGACCTCTCATGTCCCCATCTTGTATAAATGCAGTAGTAGACATGTTACTGGATGAGACAGATGAACTATGAGGAGTCTTACTTGGGTACTTTTATTTTGACGTGGACATAATGGTCTCCGTAGCCATAACCACCGATTCGAGCGATCCCCTTCCCTGAATGACGAATCCTCTGGTCTGTCTGGATGCCCGCAGGGATCTGAAGACAAGAAACAAATAATAAAATGTTTTCACACTGCATGTGTTTAAAAACATATTCTGATTGGAGGAGAACGTGTCTACTTACTGATAAGTTTAGTGTTTCATAAAGGCCCTGTGCCCTGGCTGTGCCGCCTAGGATAGCTTGAGCCACGGAGATAAGAAGATCAGAGTGGACGTCTGCACCGTCCCTCCTGAACACTGGACTTTTCTGGACCTGAAAGTCAACCCAGAACACATCACAACCAATCACACGGGGTATCAAGTCATCCCAATCTCAGGAAGCAGTACACCACAGGTTGTCTGAACCGAGCTTATTCTGATTCAAAGAGCTCAGACAGCTCAATGCCTCTTACTAAACCCACACACCTCAAGTACATTATACAAGACACCATTATAGCAGCTCTGATGTCAACTTGGATTAAGAGTGGATTTACTTCTGATATAGGTTTGTTTGCTCTGGGATCAATACTGATATTGCAGGTGTGATATGCAGCACTTCCTAAAAAAGCAATGTGCAGATTCAGTAAAAAAATCCTCTCAACCATCATGTATGACCCACTTTAAAGCTGGCTACACACCCACCCGATTTTGGGAGTCAGAGGCCGTCAGAGGCAGTCGGGCATTCGCGGCGCCCTACTCAGGTTGTTGTGTCCCGCACCGTCGTCTCTTTACGGCACCTTTTCACACCTGTTGAATCGGCCGCGGGAGGTCAGAGAAAGTCGGCCCAAGCAATCACTCTGATTGGCTGTTCAAACTACCGCTGCCTGCTGGTAAGGACAGTTATTGCCACTCGTCGACTGAAGTATTTGCGGTGTGTTCGTAGGCGGGCGGCGTAGGCGGGCGGCGTAGGCGGGCGGCGTAGGCGGGCGGCGTAGCCGACGTAAAAGTCGGGACGCCTTCGGTACGCGTTCTTTGGTCTCAGGTGGGTGTGTAGCGGCCTTAAGTTTGTGGTGGTGTCTGCATTGGGGGGGGTGAGCCACACACACAAAGCAGAGAGGTCATCATGGACCATGAAGTGTGTCATTTGTCTGCTTTCATTTAAAATATGGTGGTGAGGCA